GCCCGGTACCGCTTGAGGTCTTGATCGTAAATGCGGTTCTTCGGAACAGTTTCTGGAGCAATAATGTTTCCTAATTTTGCTAAAATGACTCCATTCCTCAGATATTCTTCTAGTTCTGTGCAAGGTGGAAGTTCTTCGCGAAGCACAGCTTCCATCCATCTTAAAAGATAAACAAGTTAATAGACAAGGAAGCTATTTTATTTAAGTGTATTTCTGTGTTGTTGCAACCTTATTTTTTAAGGAAGATGTTTTTATTTTAAGAAATGAATCCATTCTTTTTGAAACTTTACCTTATTCTATCAAGAAATGTAGCCATGAAGTGATTTTGCTGGAATATTTAATATAATGCTGCTAAAACCAATACTTTGTAGGGATGTACATAAAAGTAAATAATAGGTAGGCCTATGTGTAGGCTTAAAAGTAAAAATAAAAACTGTTAAGTGAGTTATCCTACTCTTTAGTGTTGAATTACTGAGTTTACAGTACGGTATTAAGTTTACTAGACTAGGTAATTTATTGTAACTCAAACGGACCTCAAGCAATTGAAATAAAATATGAATAAATTAATCTTAAAAGCTGAATTATGTTTGCTGCCTTAATGATTAGGTAAAACTGCTTAGCTTACTAGAGAAAAGATAGCCTAGTCTAATTATTGATACACAGTATATTATTTATTAATAATATTAACTTAATTGACAAATTGGTTTTGTTATCATAAAGAAGAACATTATTACCGGTATGCAAAATGGTAGCTATGTTGCTTTCCATTGCCTACTAGATTATGCACAAATCTAAGTTAAAAACTTACTTTCTCGCCTCTTCCAGGTGGCAAAGGTATTCATAAGCAACTTGTTTCTGCCGAATTTCATCCATTTCTTCAGCTGAGTGGCGAACATCTCCGCCCACTTAAAAACAATTTAAAAATAAAATGTAGGCCTACGGGTTTGGCTCAAAAATAAAACATTAAGGCACATGAAAAACTGAGGGCCGAATCAATAGCCCAAAGGTCAAAGGGAACTTGAAAACACAGAGAAACGCTACTGACAAAACAAGAATAGGCCTAAGTTAAGGGTTCTGTTTACAATTTATAACTTCTATGTAGGCCCTACTAGTCTTCAGTTGAAAAATTTCTTGTTCTATAACAAGCTAAAAACCATTAACTTAAGGAACAGTCCTGCAGAGAACTTACAATATAAGTTAACTTATTATTGGATGAAATTTCAATTTTAACTTAGGTATAAAAATATTTAGTATCATAATTTGATAAAAAATATTGGATGAAAGTTTGATCACTTATAGGCTACTTTCACCGTCTTTTTTGTCATCAAATAGGATTTTGAATTGTTCCAGAGGTGAGGTTAGGTTTGATTAGGCCTACAACAGTTTTACTAAGTTAAGTATAGGATACATTCACACTTCAGTAATAAGTACACTTATTGTAGATTGTAGGCTTTGTCTATAAATCACTACAAAAGTTTATGTTTAAAAAAGTTACATTTTACATGCTGTTGTGTTACAGTTTTGTTGATTTTTACCATTTACCATCGATATCTTCTCCGCCGTCCTTGTAGACAGGGGAATCGTCAATTTCTTGTAATAGTGTACTTATGTGTGTGAGAGTGTAATTGAGCATTGCTTTTCTCTATTTGTTGTTTAGGTTATATTTGTGTTCGTTAAGGGAGTTAATTTAATTTCATGCAAGTTAAAAGTACAGCCGTTTGCTCTTCACAAACCTTCATCCCCTTCAAGTATTAGTGTCACTAGAACTTGGACTCGCCTAAACTACCATCGCTCAATTATCCTTAAAACTGTTGTCTTTGGTTTTGTTTTTTGGACACTTAGAATAATTTCTGACTAAAAATTATTGCATTTTCGGATTCAGCATCCGAAAACCTGTAAGCTTGTAACTTAGGCCTTGAACATTAGGAAACTTAAGTTATGTAGGCCTAGGCTAAATGTAGCCTATGCGTAAACTTGTAGGATCTCACGTTTAGCCTACTTAAAACATACAATTTGAAAACTTATAGCAGAAGGCCAAGGTCTCAAGCTAACAACCAAATTGAACAACCGGAATGTTAAATTTGATTTCAGAAATGTAGGCTAGTCTTCACACGACTAACTTAATGCTAGATTCGTTAACTTATTTAAAAAGTAGGCCTAGGAAAGTTGACCTAGAGCCTATTAAAATATGAAAGAGAAAGCTCTAACTTAATTTACATTTACCAAACATTATCATTAAAAAAATAGGCCTACCTAAAGACATTTCGATGTCTTCACGCTTGTCACTTGAGTTCAAATGTTCAAATCTTGAACCTAAATACTTACTACGAAAACAATACACTGACACGCGTATCTTAGTCCTTAAAATAAAAGTTTGATTCTTTAATAAAGTGCTCCAAACAGTCCAAACACACATTAAAGAACAAGTCTATGAACAATGACACTGTTTCCGACCGGGCAAAGATAATTATTAATTCTTGTTTCGTACTCTTCATAAATCCTGTATGGAATTTTAATTCCTAACAACTAGGCTACATAATAGCACAAAACAAATAAAATTGTTAATCTAAATTCTAAACGCACAGTGGAGACGGAGAAAACAAAATAAAAACAGCTGTAAACATTTTAAATACAAAATAATTTGGGGTTATCATTCTGCCTTGAGACTTCTGTTCTATTGGACAATTTCATTGTATTACCGCGCTTTTAAATGCATAGAGTATAGAAAGCAAGCACAAGCAGCGCTACTTAAAACAGCAATAAGATTAAGCGGTTATTTTAGTATTGATTATGAGCATTAAATATAATAGCTCACAATATTTCTGTAAGCCACCAATCCCACACACAAAAATAATAATCTTGTATATCCTGCAGAATGAATTTGTTTTTTCTTTCATTTTTCATTGGTTTCATAACAATACTCCCAAAACATGTATAACTCAAATAATTAGTTATTAGCATTGATAATCTCCCTCTTTAGAGATAAATAATCAATGTTATTTGAATGTTTTGTCTGCCATGTGCCAAGGCCGCAGCCTGGTAGATTAAGACATAAGGCCATAGATAAAACATACTCCCTTAGTATGTTTTATCTATAAGACTTAAGACATTTGTTGATCTTTAGGCAATTACATGCAATCGATCTTGTCATGGAAGCTTGAAATGCACAAGTCAGTCATACAACAGTAAATCATGCTACACTAAAGAAAAATCATTAATAATTATTATTAATGATTGGCAACGTCACAAAGTAGTGCTGTTTAGCACCAGACGTCCCATAAGGTAACGTAGCACTGTAGCAGACAGGTAAAACCATTGAGTTAAAGGTGGCCGTGGGTAAAACCCATTCATTTAATCGCGTATTATTCATTTAAATAATATAAATTTATTAAAAGATCGAAATTAAATCATACAGTGTTCTAAACCAAAAAACAATATAGGCCTAAATAATTGAAAATATATTTCTGTACATTTAAAATGTCGTTAATATTTTCATAGCCCAGTAACCAAGCTTTCCCCTTCTTAAAAATAAACAACATTACTCATTATAGATGCCTCCAAACAAAACAGCTGCTGAAATAGCACTACCGGCACTAGGCACCACTGATAGTGTTGCCACTTTGAGCCGCGGCTGGAGTTAAAGGTGTCCGTGCTACCGTGCTGCATGTATTCAATACAAGCCTGTTCAAATATTAAAGGCCGAATTGAATGATAAATTAATACACCATTAATTGTTATAAATAAACAATAATCTAATTTCGGTATCTACATTTTTATTTGTTATAACACCAAACATTAAGTACATTCAAACAGTTTAGTCTCTGTTACAGTATGTGAAAGATAATCTGCAACAGCTTTCAACAGGGGAATTTCACCCCTCAACAGGAACCAGCTCCACCCTACTAACTACAGGCTGTCCAAAACACAAAGCTGTTTCTGGATTAGGGCTCTGGAGGTGTATGATCTCCCCCAAAGATTTAAGACTTGTAAACCGCCCGCTTTTCATAAAACAGTCAAAGCCTGGCTAGTCGACTGACCACTGTATTCAGTTCATGAATATTTTTAATGCGTTGCACCATGTATAGAGTATAGGCTCATGCCATCTTGCCTAAAATGTTGTAAAATGTGTATATAATATTTTTAATTTTGAGTTTTTATCCTTGACCCTTTCTTATCCTATCAAGTAATTCTGGTCAAACGCAGGAGGTATTAAAAGTGCAATAGAAAGATATTGGGTAAAAACGGTCAACGCATTAGAATTATGTGGGATATTTAGATTGCAGATGTGTTCAGTTATTACACTGGGGTTTGTTATTTAATAAAAGGACCATTGACTTCATTGTGTAATTGTCACATAAATAAATAAATAACCACTTTTCGAGGGGAGCGAGCGAAGCTCTTATACCCTTGCGACTCTTCTTCTACTAGACGGCTGAGGCAATCATTTTCAAATTTCACATGTTGAAAGTGACCATATCAGATCAGATACATCAGATGTTATATGACTTTTAAAATCTACTACTAGAAATCCGCCCCATGGAGTCTAAAAATTGTAATGTAACAGTGGTAATCCATGTGAAAGTAGTATTTGACACATAAACTAACTAAACAAAGACAAGCTGACTTAAATGCATTAAACAGGAAACAGATTATAGAAATTGTTAATGTTAATCTCGAATATTAGAACAGAATGTGTATGGATCATATACATAAACAAATGACGTCACTGAATTGCTTGAACCTTTTAATAATAACATTAACATATGGTTGGGACAATATTTGACAGTTCTATAACAATACGGTAATAAAATACAACCATGTTGAAATCACTCACCAACAAAATAGATTATCAATGGGGAAGTAGGTTACCATTTTTATTACCTACTCACTCATTATGCCTTTTCTTTTACCAAACTAATGATGGAAATGAAGCAAATTTCAGGCCTAGGGTACCTATCTGAGGGAAAGATTGGATAAATACAATTAGTCATGCTTTACAACAGCAACTTTGTATAATTTTTATTTGTTAAACAATCTCTTGACACATGATATTCAGACTATGATGTGGAGCTGGATGTTCAAACATTTAATGGCTGAGAGGTGTCAACAGCTGTTATGACTGGCCCCCAAGTTTCAAAGAAGTTGCCTGTGCGAGTGATTCTTTGTTGAGGAGTTGTGATCGTGTGACTACCTCCCACAAACCGGTTGACAAGATGCTCTCCGCTGAAAATTATTTATTACAAATTTTAAAGTTGCTAAAGTTATGCTACAATTAAAATGAGCCGAGCAAGGTCTCCAAAAAGTCTGATGCCAAAGCAGCCTTCATTTAAAATCAAATCAAATCATTTACTGCCAACATACAAAACATACGTAAATGGCATTGTCATATTTTACAATAAAATTGCTATTTATAAGTGGACACCTTGTTATAAGTGATTTGTCAACATCATACACACTTAATTCTATCAATAGAGATTTCAAATGTACTTTGAATTTTATTATCTAAGCATTTTACATTATATGGCAGCAAATTAGATTTTCTTACCTAATTCAAAAGTTGATTTAATGGTAGTTGATAAATTACATTGGTGAATCCTGATAAGATGACTCTGTCTGGCAAAATATGAATGCACTGAATTGTTAGCAGGGATATTATCAAGATTCTCTTTAATGTACGGCAAAGAATCCAGTAAATATAATGAAGGCACAGTTAGCACACCAAGTTTTCTAACCAAAGGTTTACAGTGAGTTTTTCTTTTTATTTTACTTTACATATGATTTTTTAAACTTTCATCTGCAAAATCAGTAACACTGCTGTCACATTCCCACACAACAATTCTATACGATAGGTGACTCTGAATGTGAGCAAAGTATATTGACATCAAAAAATTGAAATCAACAATCAACCTGATACGTCCAATCATAAAATAGTATATTTCATTACTAGGACCGAAAGTGGCATTTTCCGTCGCGCGCTCAAGTTTTTGTGTGAGGCGAAGCCGAGGACGGGAATAATGGAGCAAGTGCCGGATAATTACTTTCGGTACGAGTTATGAACGATACTTTTCATCACAACGCAAAAATACACAAACACAGATTAGCAGATCTCAGTAATATTACAACTATTTTATTTCTGAATTAATTTGATTGAACATCAAAATAAAATAAAATCTTGATGAAAACTACGTTTATTTCTCAATAAAATTTGTTTAAACATAAAAATAAAAGAATTAAACAACTTTTAACGATACATACAGCTGATTCAAATCATTAAATTAAACCGTAACAAAACACTAGCGCGCTTAGTGAATAAATTGAGAACTAATTGAGAGCGAGGGAAAGTAAATTTAGAGCGAGGGAAAATCAGCTGATCGATTTTTCCTTGCCCTAAATTAGAGCTTGGGAAACGACTACTTTCATTGATGTCAGCTGCTATTGAAAATAGTTACTTTCGTTACGGAGTGATGAAAATACCTTTAGACACTTGTTTGCACACATTGAAAAAAATTATTATTACATTTAATGTTAGGTTGTAAAACTATATCTAGAGATTTACTTGTCTCTCGTCCCTTGAACGAGAAATAAGTCTTTTAAATATTTTTTTACAAGAACTACCAATATTAAACATTTGACAAACCAGTAAGGCCCACACAACTGTCTCCAAAACACCACCCTACACACATTACCTATCATTATTCAGCTTAAAATATGTGTGTCGAATGTCGATACCGGTATCTTAAACAATTGAATTGAATATACAGGGTGGTAAAAAAGTCCCTAGACAGTTAAATATTTTAAAAAATAATGCAGATAGAGCTACAATACTTGGTACAAAGTTACAGGGCATAAAACTCTATTTTAACACATATTCAGTGATCCAATAACTCTTCAGGGGGATGGCCCACAGGAGTCGGAAGAAAATCTTAAATGGAAGCATAGGTCAATATGCACATCAAATTAAAGGTCTTTTTTAGTAGAATACAATGCCACAAACCGCACTTCAAAAGGTTGACCCTGCACAAAATGACAGTTGTCCAAAGATTCATTTAATTTACATTGCTATTCCAGTCGGTAATCTATGAAAAAGAAAAACACACCCATTTATCGGTATTCTGAGTGGTTTTTGATGAAAAAATTTTTCCAAAAACACTTGAGACAAGGGAAGTATGAGGTAGAAAAAAAGGTAAGATTTCAAAAATCACAAAAGCATGATAAAATTAGTTAAGAGTTTTAAGACACAACTCCTGCATGGTGTTCTCCTTGCCTCCATCATAGAATGTGGAAAACGTCAGTTTTTGTAAATATTGTAGATACTGATTTGACATGGCTCTCCCCCGAAAACCGAGAATTCAATAATGACAATGTTTGCTTAGGTCTACAAATGAAGATTATTATAGGACATCATGATTAGGGATTGTTATCATTAGTGGAATCAATGTAAAAAATAACTCAGACTTGTGATGATCTAATTTGATAGCCGAATAATTATAATGCTTGCCTTCAAATCCGATAGTTGATTGATCCCAGGTAGGATCAATCCTGGACTCAGATGACTGAGGATAAATCCTCAGGGGGCACAGCCCTAGGAATCGGAAGAAAATTGTTAACGTAAGCATAGGTCGATATGCACATCAAATTAAAGGTCTTCACTAGTAGATTACGATGCAGTAAATTCAAGCTCAAAAGAATGCCTGAGTAAAAAATGGCAGTCGTTCAAAGATTCAAAATGGCGGATTCAAGAAATCTTTGAACATCTGCCATTTTGCGCAGGATCAACCTTTTGAAGTGCGGTTTGCGGCATTGTATTCTACTAAAGAAGACCTTTAATTTGATGTGCATATTGACCTATGCTTCCATTTAAGATTTTCTTCCGACTCCTTGTGGGCCGTCCCCCTGAAGAGTTATTGGATCACTGAATATGTGTTAAAATATAGTTTTATGCCCTGTAACTTTGTACCAAGTATTGCAGCTCTATCTGCATTATTTCTTTTAATATTCAACTGTCCAGGGACTTTTTTACCACCCTGTATAACCACTTTTTAATGCTCTTCATTTTTCACTCACAGTTGAGGAATACTAGGATTGAGCAAAACAGAAAACGAGTCAAAAGGTCAAAACCAAAAGTCATCTGAAATGATACTTCACAATTTCTTCAAAGTATTCCAGCAGTTAATTCCGTAAAGTGAATTACAGCAAATAAACCAAACCAACCAGTGGAATATTGCCTTCCTTCAAACATCTATTAAGACAATAATGGTCACAACTATTATAATTATTATATTGAAAAACTTTTTAATAAACCTTACCTTCTAGATAGGGTCCTGAGCCTAGGGTCTGCAGGGTTTTGGAGCATTTCTTCAAAATGCAACAAATTTCTGCCAGTCGGTAATCTATGAAAAAGAAAAACATACCCATTTATCGGCATTCTGAGTGGTTTTTGATGAAAAAAATATTTCCAAAAACACTTGAGACAAGGGAAGTATGAGGTAGAAAAAAAGGTAAGATTTCAAAAATCACAAAAGCATGATAAAATTAGTTAAGAGTTTTAAGACACAACTCCTGCATGGTGTTCTCCTTGCCTCCATCATAGATTGGGGAAAACGTCAGTTTTTGTAAATATTGTAGATACTGATTTGACATGGCTCTCCCCCGAAAACCGAGAATTCAATAATGACAATGTTTGCTTAGGTCTACAAATGAAGATTATTATAGGACATCATGATTAGGGATTGTTATCATTAGTGGAATCAATGTAAAAAATAACTCAGACTTGTGATGATCTAATTTGATAGCCGAATAATTATAATGTTTGCCTTCAAATCCGATAGTTGATTGATCCCAGGTAGGATCAATCCTGGACTCAGATGTAATTTTTCACCAGTAATTGTAGAACAACACTTCAATATGCAGAATTATATGTTTTCCTACAGTTACCTAACAATGTACGTGTTCTCTCACTGATTTGAGAAAGCAAAGTGGCCAATATGCTCATCAGTGAGACAATGTTAACATTGTCTCACTCTAATAACTTTGTCTCACTCCAGATTTGCAACATGAAGGCACGATAGTGGCCAATTCGCTCATCAGTGAGACAATGTTAACATTGTCTCACTCTAATTACTTTGTTTCACTCCAGATTTGCAACGTGAAGGCATATTTCTTTACCAATTTATTTGTTTTATGGTAACTGTAGGAAAAATATAATGTGCAACTTGAGTGCAAAGTGCAATCGCCTCACTAGAGAAACCATTCCTCACTAGCCTACGGCTCACTAGTTGCACAAATAACTATTTTTTAAGCTCTACAAAATGACTAAAGCTCTGGAGACCTCAAAATGAAAAAGTAAATCAGTCATGGGTATAAGCATTGACTATTGGATACTGAAGTAGATATCCCATCTATATGGACCAGCTGTAGCCAATTTTTTGTTAAACAAGAATGTAGTTGTGTGAGCCATGCGCTAGTGACTAAAGCTCTATTTTCTACCTTATTTTTTGTTGCTGACTAAGTTGATGGTGAATGTTTTATAGAGAATGAAATTAAATGGAGATTATAAGATGAGAAAAAAATGAACACACTTTTGGGATAGGAGAACAAGCACTGTTTTATTTACTTTTTGATACACAACATGTGTTAGCAATAGAGAATAATTTAATTTGATTAAGAACACATGTTAGTTGCAAGGAAAAGAGATGTACATTAAATAAAACATAGAGTGTTAAATAATATGAATGGTTAAAGTTTACTGAACATACCGGGGGCCTTGAATCCCCAGTGGATTCAACAAAAACAGTTCACGAATCCACAGTTGGCAGGGGAAACACTTTGTGGGCAGATCTTCTGAGGTTGCCACTTGATGTTTTTAAGTCTATCACTCGCACAACCCCATCAGCCCCTGGATGAACTGCTGTAATTCGAGCGAGAGGCCACGAGAGAGGTGGTGAGTCCATATGTACCAAAACAAGGTCACCCACTTCAAGATTTTTTGATTTCCGAGTCCACTTGGTACGTTGTTGCAAGTTGTTTAAGTATTCTAGGTGCCATCTATGCCATATGCGTTGATGAAATGCTTGAACTAGCTGCCATTGCTTGAGACGGTTTTCAGGAACTGTCAGGAGATTAGGTTCAGGTACTGCTGTGAGGGGTGCACCAATCAGGAAGTGTCCGGGAGTCAGTGCTGCGAGATCCGAAGGATCATTTGAAAGAGGTGTCAGTGGTCGGGAATTGAGCATTGCTTCGATTTGGGTCAACAATGTGATGAATTCAATGAGTGTTAAGACTGAGTTTCCCATTACTCGACGGAGATGATGTTTCACATTCTTTACAGACGATTCCCACAATCCTCCTTGATGCGGAGCGGCTGGTGGATTAAAATGAAAATTGATGCCTTTAAGTGAAGAGAATCGTTGAATCTTCCGTTTGGAGTCTTGACAATAAAGAGATTTTTCAACAATCTTGCGTAGGGTAGAGTCAGCACCAATGAAGTTGGACCCACAATCCGAGTAAATGTCGGAAGAATGTCCTCTGCGAGATACAAATCGAGTCATTGCAGCAATGAAAGATTCAGTCGTTAGGTCTGTTACTACTTCCAAATGTACAGCTTTCGTGACGAGGCAGATGAAAGTACAAAAGTATGACTTTATGTGTCTCACTGCCTTGAGGTTGAAGATTTTAACAGTAAAAGGCCCTGCATAATCTATGCCGGTGTGGAGGAAAGGTCGAGCAGGAGTTACACGAGACTGAGGGAGATCAGCCATGAGAGGACACACATTTCTAGGTTTGACTTTGAAACATCTGACACATTTATGGATACGAGAGCGTATGGCACAACGGGCAGACAGTATCCAAACATGTTTGTAAAGTAATGCTTGAGTAAGCTGAGGGCCTGAATGAAGATTGTAGATATGGTAGTGGTCAATGAGGAGATTTACCACATGATGCTTTTTTGGCAGAATAATGGGATGTCGAGCATCTTCAGGAAGTGATGTCTGAGAAAGACGTCCTCCAACACGCAATAATCCAAATGAGTCAATGAAAGGTGAAAGACGTTGTACACGAGTGGAGCAAAATGATTTCCGTTTGAGGCAGTTGATTTCTTCTGTGAATACTTCTTTTTGTACAAGTTTAAAAATGTGATATTTTGTGTCTTTCAGTTCCTGTGTTGAGATGAAACCTTGGCGTTTTTCAGAACCTTTACAGTTGTGTATGAAACGAAGGACGTAAGCAAAAATCCTAAGAAGTCGTTCCCATGAAGAATATTTAATGAGAAGATTGGTCAGCGTAGATTCAGTGGTAGTTGACACAAGTACAGTTAGAGGAGTGTGTTTTGCTTCATCTAATGTTGAGATATCTGTAGGTGAAAAAATTACATCAGGCCAGTTTGAAGGGGGAAGAGAAAGCCAAGAAGGCCCTGACCACCAAAGGGGGTGAGACACAAGCTCAGTGGCTAGAATACCTCTTGAAGCACAATCAGCAGGGTTTTCCTTGCTAGGGATGTAACGCCAACAGTGATAGGGGACAAGTTCTTGTGTTTGGGCGACTCTGTTAGCCACGAATGTTTTCAGCCTGTAAGATGGAGTTTGAAGCCATGTCAAGGTTACTGAAGAATCACACCACAAATAACATTGGTTGAGTGAAATTAAGGGTTTGAATGAAGAACAACAGAAGTTTACGAGTTGAGCTAATAAGTGGGCAGCGCAGAGTTCTAATCGTGGAAGAGTCACCTTCTTGAGAGGGGCGACTCTAGTTTTAGATAAAACCATACGTGTAGTCACTTCTCCGTTGGGTTGGGAACATCGTACATAGACAACAGCTGAAAACCCACGTTCAGAGGCGTCTGAGAAGCCGTGAAGTTCAACACTAGAATTTGGAGAGATTTTCAATGCTCTAGGGATCTGAATGTCTGCAAGTGCTGGTATCGCTGAGATAAAGTTACTCCAAATTGCACTAAGTTCTGGAGTTAGAGGTTCATCCCATTGTAGACCGGTCGTCCAGAGAAGTTGAATAAAACATTTCGCTGTCATAGTACATGGGCTAAGAAATCCACAAGGATCGTATATTTTAGCGACTAGACTGAGAACGTGACGTTTAGTTAGTGTTTTTGGCGGTAGGTTGAGATGAAATGAAAAATTGTCCGAGTCTGGAGACCAGTGTAGGCCAAGAATTGAGAAATGGGGATCAGGTGTATTTTCAAGAAAGACTGGAGAGTCTTTATGAGTGTCTGGAAGAGACTGAAGAAGCTCGGGAGAATTTGAAGTCCATTTTCGAAGTTCAAAGTGTCCACGGTTGAGTAGTTGAATGAGTTGATTTTGAAGGTTCTTTGCTTCATCTACCGTGTCTGCTCCAGTTACAATGTCGTCTACGTAAGTCTGAGTGCGCAAGACATTTGCTGCTTCAGGGAAGTCTTTACCTTCGTCTTCAGCTAACTGGTGGAGGGTACGAATCGCTAAGTAGGGTGAGCTATTTACTCCAAAAGTCACTCGAGTGAGTTTGTATGTGGATATATCTTCAGAGGGATTGTCACGCCACAAGACGAGTTGGAACAGTTGATCGGAAGGTTTGATTAAGATTTGAAGATACATTTGGCGAATATCGCAAGTGAAAACGATATTGTGTATTCTGAAATGTAGCAATATATCACAAATGTTGGTCTGTAATTTAGGGCCGGTCATGAGAGAATCATTGAGGGAAATTCCAGAGCTGGTTTTGCAGCTTGCATCATAAACGATTCGGAGTTTAGTTGAGGTACTGGATGGTTTCACAACTGCATGGTGTGGCAAGAAATAGTGAGGAGAGTTGATATCTAGATGAGGTAGTTTTACCATATGACCTTGAGAGATGTGTTCATTTATATTGTCAGAGTAAGCTTTATACAAATCAGGAGAGAGTGTAAAACGTCGTTCAAGTGAGTGAAAACGTCGTTCTGCGATGAGTTTGGAAGATCCTAAAGGTGGATGATTTTCTTTAAATGGTAGCTGAACTAAGTAACGGCCATTTTCGTCCCTAGAGTGGGTAGCTTTAAACAGATCTTCACACTGTTGCTCTTCAACCGATATCTTTGAGGGTACAGATAATTCCTCTAATTTCCAAAATTTCTGTAGAGAGTTATGCAATTCGTTGTCAACCGTTGAGAGCAGAGAGATGGATGGAGTGTTGGCAGGCTGGGAATCGGTTGAACAAGGTGCATTCCCCATAACAACAAAGCCAAAGTGAGTTCCCATCATGTTAGGCATGTTAGGGCCGAGAGAATAGTTTTCATTCGTTAAAAGAAGAGGGAAGAGAGAAGCTCCGATCAGCATGTCAATGGGCCCTGATAAGTGGAAGCTGGGATCAGCAAGGGGGTAAGGTTTTACTTTCAATAGAACTCTTTGTGATATTTGAGATCTAGGGAGATTGACAGATATTTTATCAAGTATGTGCACTTCATGGTTGGATGCAACTAATTTTCCTGCCAGTGTGTTAACAGTGAGGTTCACAATACCCTTTGTGAGAGTTGGAGATTGAGAAAGACCAACTACTTGTAAGTTGGATTTGAAACGAGGTGCATTCAGTAGTTGAGCAGCTTTTTCACTAATAAAATCACACATGCTGCCACTATCAATCAATGCTCTGAACACATGAGAAACGTTATTTTGAGCAGTAACTTTAACCAGTGTTGTGCCTAAAATTACAGTTTTAGGGATTTGATTAGCAGGACTGGCTTCCTGTGAGCAAAGAGATACGGTAGGTTTTTCATTCGAAACATGAGTGGTTGATGGTTGTGATGATGTAGAACCTTGAGATGTCTTGTCATGTTCAAAATGAAGTAAGGTGTGATGACGTTTGTGGCATTTGAAGCAAGATGCTTTAGACTTACATGTTTTAACATCATGTTTTCCGAGGCAAGAGACACATCTGTTGTTGTCCTTTACGGTTTTAAAACGTTCATTTGAAGAAAGAGAGAGAAAGCTAGGACAAGCATAAACCTTGTGGCCAGTTGATGAGCAGACAAAGCAGGGAAATGAGAAAGGATTTTTTGAGTTGTCTTGATTTGATGGAGTTGGAGTAGAGACCATTGTAACTTTCTGAGCTTGAATGAAAGAGGGCTTGGATGTGAAAGATTTGGGTTTAAAATTTGAATTGTGGTTGTTCGTACTTTGAGCAAACTTGGTATGTAACACAGCGTCTTCCATTTGGTTACACTCTTGATTAAGAAACTTGACTATTTCGACTACTTCTGGTAGAGAATGTGTTTCGCATTTTATATTAATTCTAAAAGCCTCTAGTTGTTTTAGAAGGTCATTGTCTAGTTTTCGTAAGAGTATGGTGGACAACAGAGGGTTAGAGTTAGAAGTAATGTCACAGTCAAGAGCTTTAAGTGCTTCTGTGTGTTCATAAAACAAGTTGAGGAACGTTCTGAGACATTTGTTTGAGGTAGAGGAAATGTCCGGTAGGTCGATCAGTTTGTTTAGGTGAAGTGTAGTTAACCTTCGGGTGTTGTGGTATCTGTCTCTGAGGCAAATAAAGCCCTGAAGCTGATAGGCAATTGAGTAATTGGCTGAAGTGATACTGAAAGCTTTTACGAGATTTAGTGGTTCATTTTTGAGCACGCTGAGAAGATATTGAAATTTAGTGACGTTTGAAATGCTTTCATTCAGATGGATGCTAGTGTCAAATAAGTTGATGAAACTTACCCACTGTAGAGGAGAACCATCAAACGTGATGAGGTCTAGTTTTGGGAGTCTTACGAGAGCAGATGATGAAGCTGAGATGTCACTAATTCTTGTTGAATCTTTACTTTCTTCTGGAACATCTTGCGGCTGCTGTTGGAGAAGGGCTTCAATCCGAGACTTGGCTTCGACGAATAGCAGTCGCAGTTTGTCTTCAGTGTCACTTACTGCATCCAAATCTAATTCTTCTGATATATGTTCCAAGGCTCTTTCCAGGTAATTTTCATAGGCTTCATGTTTCTTTTCTAACTGGTTCGAGAAGTTGTTTAAAGTTCTGATTTGTATCACTGACAAGATTGAGGGGGAAAGTGTTTCAAGCTCTTGTACAGATTTGAGAATCTTTTCAAAAGAATTTTGTATGAGAAGGGTTGATTTGTTGAAGTTTGAGAGTGAAATTGATCTGGTAGCCATATTGGACAAAACAAATGGAGTGAAACTTTACTAAGAATTAGATAGAGTTTGTGACACTATGAGAGTGGGGAGAAACATAAAGAGATTGAATGATAAAATAAAGATATTTCGATAGCTTGAAAGTGTTCTGAAAATTGAATCCAAAGACTGAAATTCAAAATCCAGGCTCGATTAGGACCAATGAATGTTTTATAGAGAATGAAATTAAATGGAGATTATAAGATGAGAAAAAAATGAACACACTTTTGGGATAGGAGAACAAGCACTGTTTTATTTACTTTTTGATACACAACATGTGTTAGCAATAGAGAATAATTTAATTTGATTAAGAACACATGTTAGTTGCAAGGAAAAGAGATGTACATTAAATAAAACATAGAGTGTTAAATAATATGAATGGTTAAAGTTTACTGAACAGATGGGTCATAACAGTTGCTATAGCTTACAATAAGTCATTCCATTAGTTTGAATTCATAAAATAAATTATCTATTCATTATTCAACAGAAATCAGTAATTTAGATCAGCACAATCTGTCGGTGGCTCACATCAACTACGACGATTTTGGTAAAAAAACTGGCTACAAATTTAACATGGGGATGGAATGTCGAATAAGTCTTACCATGAGAACTACGGTAATAGCCCTGAAGGGAAAATTAGCTAACAAAAGTGAAATTAATCTAGAGGTTAAAATATCTTTAATCCGTCAATGTGATCAAATGTCTCCGATGAGCGGCGACCGGTTTCAGCCCAGCTGTGGAGCCATCTTCAGGCGATGAAGGAACATAAATATCACTAATCACTCCGAAGAGGTCGTCACAAAGTCTATAAATACGTCACGAGAAACAACACATAAATACATTTTTGTTTACAAATACACGTGTGGCCACAAATTATTAATTTGTAAAAAAAATTTAAAAAAATAAATAAAATGCATTTATGTGTTGTTTCTTGTGACGTATTTATAGACTTTATGATTTGTGATCAGGAGGCAAAAAAAAAAAACAGAAATGCAAAAAAATTGAAATAAGTAAACTCACTTCTTCTGCTGCTTCCGCACTTGGTCCAGCTTGTACGCCAAGTAGGGCCGGACACTAGGCTGTGAGGGGAGGGGGGGAGGTGGAGTCATCTCATCGAATGTGTTCTCTGGCTTCATCACTGACTCGTTGTCACATGAGATGCACTGCACGTCTCTAAAACAAGGTCAGTGCAACGTTTACCTCGATGCTTCTCTCAGCCTTTGTTTGTTTGAGGTGTGAAATACACAATTATTTTGACACATCAGAAATCAGACTTTGGCCGTCATTGTTTTTTCATAATGGTTTCAACTAAATATGAAACATTTAAACACACTATTATTTTGGCTAAAGCTAAAAGGTTCAGTTATCAACCCTCTAAAAACATTCTACCTCTTACATTGAGTTTCTTTAACATTTAATGAAAAACAATATCAGCAGTAGGCCTACATCGGCTTCTCTCACCTTATAACTCTCCTCTTGGACCCAGCCGCCAGTCCTTCTCTCTTCTGGGCAGCCAGAGCCTTCATTTTGTCCTGGAGTACTTTGAGTTTCTCATTCACGTAATCTTTCAAAGGAGAAAATTCCATCTTGTCAAGTTTATTTTGAAGATCCGTCCTCAACAAGTCCACCTCTTCTTGCCAAGATTCTTCCTGAGAAATTGATTTGATTTTAAAAGCTGAGAACATTTTTTTTTCAATTAATATTAAAGAGTCGAGTTTTACTTTTTAAATGGAGAAAGTATGGCTTTCAATAATCTTACAATAATGTTTTAAAAGTTATTGCAATTTTTGTAAAATTCCCCATAGTTAATAGTTACCCTCACCGTTTACCCCACGACAATTTTATATAATGGGAGAAAGATTGTGCCAGTTTACCAATACTGTTTATTAACACATGGAGTGCGTTCAAAATGTCTGTAGGAGCAACCCAGGGCCTGACATTTGTTTAACATAAAATCTAAACTATTGTTTCTAGAAGTAGGGATTAACGTCGTAAAGTGTGTTTCTAGCTGTTATTCCGTGCAAAATCGCCACGGTCACTGGTGTCCGCTGGCCTGCGAAGTAACGTTTGTGGGCAGCGTGTCGAAAATACTTATTTTTGAGCTCACAAACACTGTTTTCCACTATTTTCCCCATAAGGTTTGATTTTTATTATAGTAATGTGGCATGAAATGCTTTAGTTCAGAAACAGTTGTCCTATCAGTTTGGCTTGTCTTGAAAGTATTTAACAGAGATCAGTAATTTACATCAGCACATCCTCTCATTAGTTTGATATCCATTTTTTCTTTAAAACTGGGAACTTTTGGGGGTAGGACATCAACTTCTATCGGTAGATAGATAACGATTTAATGTAAAGATTGTTCTACAAACATTAGCCACCTTCACTATTTCTATCAACCTAAGTTTACAACTGGACACAGAATTCTCTGCATTAGAGTAAAGCTAGACTAACGTGAGTCTCGAGTCTGCTGAATGCGTCTTCCACAAGTGAGGTTAACTGTCCGATCTGCGTCAGGAAGTGGTCGTGAGAGACTTTCCGGTGAACCACACTAACGTCGGCCTTGGCAGCCAGGCTGTCCTCTAAGTTGGTTTTGTCAGCTTTGGCTAGCTTCAACATCTCAATCTGCTCTGTCAGCACCTGCAGGAACGGACACATGAAGAAAATTTACCAAGACTCTAGACACATTCAGTAAATAAATCACATAAACATAGAGAATAGATATATTAAGTAAGTAATCCATAGACATACGGAAACATTCAGGAAATTGGCCATAGACCAAAGACAAGTTATTTGAGAGAATTCTTCTTTGATTATTATATTCATCACATGAGAATACAGTTTATTTTGATTTCACCGCTGTCTAGAAATTTGCGAACCTAAAAAAATTGCCTCTGATCTAAGATATAAATTCATTAGTTTCCTTTTCTGTTGTATTTTAATGATGTATCCATATAATATAAACTTTTTCCTATAAAAATATTCTTTAATTGTAAAACTCACAGTGGTTATCTAGAAACTGTTTGTGGTTAAGTGAATGTAACCTTACGTCTATCAGCATTTGCTTCCTTTCACTGTCCTCGTTCAGTGTATTTGTGGTAAGTGTCAGGTTGTCCAGGTCATGCTGGACGCTGCTCAGACTGGAGATCAGGTTGTTTATGCTGACCGCTTGATCCTGCAATTAACAACAATTTGGTACAAAGGAGTCTCCATTATGGAATCTTTAGGCATCCGACCTTGCGTATTATCACACCCTACTTGTGGAAGATTGAGGACTGTTATTAAATGGAAAACAACGCTCAAAGCCTTTATATAGATTTGTCAGCAGTGGAACTTTATTTATATTATGTACATGTTTACCACAGGTTTTACTATTTCTTGACCTTTATTATTATATCTGACCTTGTTGCCAGTAGCTTAACCTTGCCTCAGTGGTTTGGGTTGTTAATTAAGACTACTGTATTATTTAAAGTTTCAAATATGGACTGGTTTTGGTGTTTCACCCACATTTTCAAATCCTTTTTCTCGTCAATCGTCATATAAAAATAATTCAGCACTTGCCGTTGTCAAAATTACTTTAAATAATTACTTATACTTTAAAATTTTTTTATACATAAAATACACACAGAAACAACAAGAAACATTTGCTAAACCCGTAACTAGTCATCCACGACAAATTATAGGATTAATTGACGACAGGTCAGTAACCTTATTTATATTAATAATCAATCCTGGAGGCAAATTATGAATAAATTCCAAATATTGGTGAAGTTAACAATTCAAGAACCAGTATGAGATTCTTTTTTGAGTTCATTAATAAATATATTATATGGCTGTCAGACAGAATAGACAGAATGTCTATGTAGACAGAATAGACTTCCCATGTAATGTTAAAATTTTAAGAAAAACAAATTTCACCCAAGCTGTGTCAATATTTGCTTTTGAAATCACAATCATTATAAGAAAGGAAATACACATTTAATCTTGGAACAAACATAATTAACCAATTAAAAAAAAAACGTTGTTACTACTCCTCATGTGAAATTCCCCAATACCTCCCAAAAATTCTCTAATTTGAAAAAGTTTATAAAATTTGTAGACCACCTGCATAACGCCGATCGAAAATTTTGACTCCTGCGTCAACAAGCTGTTCTTTGTCCCCAGCCTCGTCATGTTCACTTTTTCGTTGATCTCACCCATCTCTCGATCCAAGACCTCGATCTGTCGTGTCATGTAGGCCAACTTCTCGTCCAATACATTGTTCACCTTTGTCAGCTGATCATCATGTAGGTCTACCAACTTCTGCATCTGCACCAACCTCTGGCCCAGCGGCATATCTTGGTCCCCGAGATCCAGGTCTTTCAAACGATCCACCAATCCTTCGATATTCAACATCTGCAACACAAGATTAATTGTTATCGGGACTGCACTTTGTGCTGTGTAGGAGGTCTTGTATCTTTAGGAATACTGTAAAATAAATATTTGAAAATTGCACAGTGGGTTATATCAACACACAAAAATTGTGGTTTTCCTTTCCAGTTATATATCAAGTGGAGGAACTAAGTTTTATTTCCAATACTTATGAGACCAAAGAGAATATTGTATAAATATTTATGGATAGCAGCCGATACAAATATTTCACACATCATGCATTTTATCTGAGCCTCTTTGAGGAATGGTGTTTAGACAACAATCATTAAAAAAGTCATAAAATTATTTGTTTTCTCCTCATCATACTATAAAAGCAAAGGGCTGTACATGTAATTCCTAATTACACCAAACAATCAGATTTTAAGATTATATGGTCATCCTGGGCCTATACTACTGTAATATGTTTTCAACTGTTTTGTCAAAAAACGTCATAAACTACACAATATACTTTTTTTGGGAAAGACTACTTTTAGGTACATATTAAGTACAGTACAGTACAAGGTTGGTTTCATCTACAACTGATGTTCTGACATGTTCTACCTTTTCTTCAAGACCATCGATCTTAGAAACACTTGCTCTCATCTCTTGAAACGGGACAGTTTCTGTAGGACACAATACGTTAAAAAAGCATAAGTTGGTATCTGTTAAGGTTTTAATTCATTACAATTACTACTTTTTTATCAATTTATCTGGAGCTAAGCTCATGGACACTAAAACACAAATACTCCTGCAGAAGACGACATACAAAGGGGATAAAATAACTTTAATACATTACTTCCTGCCAGAGAGCTTGGGTTGGTAAGTGAAAATATGTAAAAAAGCTGTAAGTAAAGTATTGATATCAAGAGAAAGAGAGTGCTTCTGGATGTACTTTTTTTCAATTTGTGGCTGTTTTTCTGTATCAAAGTAATTTTTATTTTACAAACTATTTAGCCAAAGTATGACTTGAGTTGTTTTGAAAATCACCTTCTTTGTTGAAAAAATGAAAATGTGTTGTCAAATGTTTAGCTCACAATGAATATTGCAGATATTTAATATCATGGCTCCCCACAAACCGAAACCCCTTATTGTTGACATAACTTCAAATTATACAAATCAAAATTTCTTATATTTTGTATCAAATAAACATTGTTAAAAGAATTTTACAAATATTACATATACAATATACAGGGTGAATAAAAAGTCAAGAACCCCCCCAGCCCCTCTAATATTTTTCTTAGTAAATATACAGAGATATCCTTTTGGTGGTCGTGCAATCTTAGCAGGAAGTTTCATTTTATGATTTTGAAATTTTTTAGTGCCCCCCCCCCCCAAAAAGAGGGGATTTGGGGGCAACTAAAATATTTTAAATGTAAACCCCCTTTAAGTGACACCTCATTTTGAAGTGTTAGCAAAAACTTAAAGAATGGTGAAAACCAGAGTTCGCTATCTCTTCTCTATCCAAAATGGTAGCCTGTCAAATGTTGTTGAACCGGCAGCCTTTTGATTACTAGGCTACCTAGCACTATTACCACTAAGCTACCCAGTTCAGTTTTGCTGCAGAGCTGTGATTCGTTGGAGGACATTAAAATACAAAACCTCTTTTCCCTTAGAAATTAATCCACTCCGTTGGATTTTTAACACATGGTTGATGTCGATATGATTATTTGATAATATGATATCTAGTGTAATAGTGTTGAATAAAACATACCAGTAGCACCAGCAACAGTCTCAACCTTAGCCTTGAGATCTTCAATGTCCATCTTGAGAAGGTTGACATCCATCAACAACTCATCTGCCTTCTCAGGTGACAAGCCACAGCCACTGCAATATACACAATTCAGATGTATACAATATGTCAACTTATCTGCGTGTGAGTTTTCCATACAATGGTAAAGGATTTGGATAACAACCAATTGGATTTGGAGGACAACCAATCACCATTTTATAATCAATTAAATTGGCCTTAACAGCTGATAAGTTGACATTCGAAGCATACACATTTTACTTCTTTTGCCTCAATCCTTAAACCTCATTGGTCCAAACTTGTACTGTAAAGTAACAAAACAATGCTGTTAAGTAAGTAAACAATACTGTAAAGTAAATATTGTACATTCTAAGAACTAGATTGGAAAAGACTAGTTTGAAAAACAGCTGTAGGGAAAAAGCTTTTCGTCCCAGGATTATTATCATCAACTTTACGTACTTGATGATTACACTTTTCCTTAAATACCTAAGATAACGTAGTACTGTAGTAGCTTTGTTTTAACAATACTTAGTTCACTATTTTATATTACTAGGTGAACCCGCGCGAATTCGCACGAATAATAAATTAGGATATTATAGCAACGTCGTTAGAAGTTGCGTCGTTGTATCGACGTTGGTCTTGAGCTCGATCGTTGGCTATATGCATTCCAAGTTCTTTTTGCTGTTCAGTAGGAGTATTTTGCAGGACGGAGCTCATCATGCTGAAAACTTGCGCGTATGGATCAATATCAACCAAATGTTGTGTCAAAATGTGCATGAGTTCAGTGCTGCAAGAGCCATTAGCTTTGTTTAGAATTCTTTCTTGAACAGCGGTTTCGACGTCGTAGATATAAATTTGGGCATATGTGGGATGCTCCCCTTCTGACGGTTGAAAGGTGCCAATTGAGTGATAAATTGTGTCGTGCACCTTATACATGAAAGGCCCTCCACCATTATGTTCTTTAATTTTAGCTCGAGTGCTGACCATTGCGAGCGCAGAGTTGTATGATCTAATGTTCTCTTTGTAGTTTCTGCTCAAATGATTTGCTCCATTAAGTAGGCTCTGGATATAATAGCTTTCTCGGTATGGTGGTAGATTCACTTTTCCTTTATGGCAGCAGGATGAAAATCCTTCGCCTCGTCCTCTTTGTTCTTCTTTAAAATGTAACGCACCACATTTCTGACATTTTAATGCCATCTCGCCAAGTGAATGCAGCTGAATTATCGTATTTGTCAGTGTAATTTTGTAAGTACACGTTGCCACTAACTGTTCCAGCTCCTCGTCTGGGTCCTTACGTTTTGCATTGCTTGCGTATGTTGACTCACCGTGTCCGACCAGCAATATTTCTTTGTCGTCGGGTCCTTGGCATGTTTAAACGAAAATAAAATGTAAAACTTTTCTCCCGTCGTGTCCTATAGGTAACATTCCTTTGCCGGGTTTCTAATTATTTAAAAAAAACATGCAAACTGTTTACATTTCAAAACCAAACAAAACAGCTGGGATTTTTTAAACTTATAGGCTATATTGACATCTGTTTCAGAATATAACAACATTCAAATCAATCACAATGTTATCCTTATGGAAGGAACTTTGAGGGCAACCCACGCCCTTAAAAAGATATATTTCGAAAATCTAATGCCAGTTTGCACATCTATACATCTAGACGAACATTTTGGTATATAATATGTGGGGTTAAATATTAAAACAAAAAAGCCTTATTGTTCACAAAGTTTCATGTCGCGTATTAAATATATAGATTGCGCCATGTAGTCGTACTCTATAGTAGTGAACAACACCTGTGCCACTTGTTTAATAGCTCTAATGACGTCCAATAACCATTTAACAACTTGTGGCTGTAGCTAGTGGTTCTTTATGTATTACGACGAAGTCTGTGCAACTATATAAGGAGTTTCTCAAAGAATTTGTCCGTGATGAGGGTGCGAGTCTTCTTGGTATGTCTAGGATACAATATTTTTAATGATAAAAAATCATAGGGTAATGTTGAGTTGTAGTATTATTGTACATATTCTTGCGCAAAACATTTAAGTTTTTACATGGGGTGTAAGTAGATGTTAACGGGAAAGAAGCTATGGGAATGTGTGGCTTGTGAGCTACATAGAAACAACTGAACAAAAACTTTCTTCATGGTTATTCACAATTATTTATAGCTCCAGTGTGTAACTAATTATATTACAACGCTCTACTCAAACGTTCTTCTTTCGCTGTGAGATCTTACTTTTATGCATTGAAAAATAATCAATATTTTTATAACGATCAAAACACATTATTTTAAAGATCCATATAGTAGACCTTCTTAACAGACCCTAATGGGACCGGATCTAGGTCGGATAGCTCAAATGGTCGGTTAAAACGGGAAATCCATAAAACTAACAAAATTAAGTGCTATTCGTTTTGAATGATATAATAAATGTTTTGAAGACTTACTTGCATTTTTATAAAATTAACTGTTTATCTTCTTTTTTCATATTGATAGGAAAAGTCACAAATAAACACAAAACAGGGTTTTAAGTCAAATACCTTCAGTGAAATAAATTATAGTTGTAGGCAAGAGTCAATAAAAATGCTTACTTTGATAACTTTAGTACTGTAATATTAATTGATGCTTTCCAAATATATCACAATATAGTACAGAACCTTTGGTCGAAATTAAAAAGACAACCATTTTGTTAATACAAAACAACTTATTCTTAGTCACATCCTGTGGAGATAAGCGTATGGCTCCCATCGCTGAGCGTGGGGTTTAAGTCCCGAGATTCCTAGAAAGCGGCCGTTAAGACAAACTGCTCTCAAAGCAAGGTAGGTTAAAACAAACGGAAATATTTTACAAACGAGGGTGCATAGCCCGATTATCGGTTAATGCGAGGTCGGTTAAGAGGGGGTCCACTGGTAATTTCATGAGAATTTTATATATAAAATACTATTTTAAATAAAAAAAATTCAATTAAGATGCAAACTACGTATTTATATTTATATAATAAAATTGAATGTACATGCATACTAATAAGACAGAATATTCGATAATTTATTTAAAATAATTTTTCAGGTATTCATTGTTTCATTCACAATGGTACCATCAGGTAAATATAATTATACACTAATAAATTAAATACTAATAATTAATAACAATAATAAAGATTTGACTGTCCAAGTCTGCCACGAGAGAGTAGTTGCATGCTGTTTCAATTGAATAGTAATTTTACTTTGTAGTGATATTTAAAACAACATTTAACAAAAATTGTCGTTTTCATTGTAGTGACAAACCGAAATATTCATTGTGTCTATATATTAATTATATTCAATTCTGAATCTAGGTGCGTTTCCTGGCACTTTCCTCTTAAGGGGAACATTCATTATTATCGATGATTTCTTTTAGATATATCGATATTTTTGTTTTCCATTTACGATCCATATTACATCTGATTTAATATCTTCAAACGCATTTAAATTACAGACAGACAAACAAACAGACATAGCAAATACAGAGTTAGGCAAAAGTCTGAAACCCCCCAGTTACCATTTTAACGCGTTGAAGTAGGAAAACCAAACTCGGCACATATTTACAACATAAGATAATGCACTTTTTCAGCAAAGTTACAACTTTACCCCAGCCCCCAAAATGGGGTATTTTGGGGGCAGCCCCAAATTTTCAAATGTAAACACCTATCATGTGACCCCTCATTTTAAAGGAATTCTCAAGACAAACTAAATGGCCCAAACTAGAGGTCAATATCGCACCCCTAATCAAAATGGCAATAATTTTGAAATATCCCCTTTTAACTTTTTACAGGTTATAGCAGGAAAACTAAACTCAGCATACCTTTATAAAAAAAGAGGATTCACCTTTTGGCCAGTATTAAAATATTAAATTTTTAAAGTTAACTGGGGGTGTCCAGACTTTTTTTGCTTGCTCATCTTTATAATTAAAATGGCTGCTATTTTGATTAGGGGTACGATATTTACCTCTGGTTTGCGCCATTCAATTTCGCTATCAACTTAGCTTATAGTATAAAACGTTAGATTGACGTTTGACCAATCAAATGACAACCGAAGCTAATATCCTATTTGGATAGGCTATTTTTCAATCACATGGATATGATTACCACATTTAACACACAAATGCCACGTACAAATCGCTCTCAACACAAGAACAAATCGCTCAAAAAAATAAAAATAATAAAAAAATAAAAATAAACTGCAGAGCTCAAGATATAGCATTTACTTGGGGTACATGGGTGTGTAAATAAAATGTAATGATGTTGCATTGAGTTTCAAGCTTTTTGTTATAAGGTAACATTTACGTAATATCATGGTTGAAATAATTATAAAAAAATCAGATGAGACAAAACATTTTCCAAATTAGAATCTCTAACCAAGTTTATGATTATAATCTACTGTATTCATTATTTCATTGCTAAACATATTCAGTTATTTATCATGCTATTTGTCATGTTAGATACTTTCAGTTAATTTAAGTTTGATGTTACGTAATTTTCTTTATAATTTCTGTTAACAGTTTAGCTATAAAAATACCATTATATACTTGTTTCTACTAAACAAAGAAGTAATTTCATTTTGATCTTCTAGGAAATGGAATTAGACAATACACTCTTCCCAACAATTCAAGGGAAATATCTTTTACAATATCCCAAACAGATGACAGGTATATTCGTGGGGATTGCTACAGTTATTTTAAAATCCCATTGAGTCAAGGTACATATACGATCGCCTATAAATGTCCAAGTACGCCATCTGAAACAAAGGGGGACGATTTTCTTATCATAGATGGGACCCTATACAGCGACAAGTGTGATGAAGTCATCAGAACGTCAGAACACCACTGCGTCAAATATACGATCACCACTTATCATATGAGCGATTCACAAATGGACAAGGAAGAGTGTACACATATCAAAAACGTCATTGCAAAAGGAGTTTCTGTAAAGACTCTTGAAGAGATGGAAAAGCAATAACAGTATTTGGATGTGGAACAAGAAGAACAGGATAGCAAGGTGGAACAGGAAGAAAGGGATAGGGAGATAGCGCAAGAACGGGCTAG